ACTGGATTGCAAAACGCTGAAATACACTGATAAAAAGCGGGTCGATGGAGCTTTGTTTTGGTGCTTAGCGACCACTAAATGTAATCCTTATATGCTACATATTTCTGTAGTGGTGGAGGTTCGTGGATAATTGAAACAAGATGTTTTCGCTTGATTGCCTGCAAGGGTTTGGAAGCTGAATTTATGTTGAAACAGTGCTTTTATGTGAAATATATTGCAGAACAATTACAGCGTAGCACTGCATTGCAATTCAAATTGTCATCAACTTGTGGATGTTTCCATGGTGTATTCGTAAGCCACACTGGGCTTGCATTCCAGAGGTCCTCGGTTCGAGAGGCTATGGCACTGCATACAATTGGAACGTTTCCTAAATTCTCCCCACCTCTGTGTGCCAAGCAGTTTATAAATTGGTACGCCACAATCAACCGGCAGGTCGCGTGTGGGTACTCCCACTTCTTTCAAAACCACTGGCCAGCAAAGGCTGCACATTCATCTTACAAATAGACAACTCGTGTCACGATACTGTTCTAGGATATCGATTTAAAGCTTTCGTGACTGCAGGGATTCATATTCTTGGTTCTTTCGGTAAAGTCACGTAGAAGGGAAATACTAAAGTAATTCAAATAAACCCTACTAAATATAACGTTTTTTTTAAATCATAATTAAATAATAAAAATACAACATTATAAATATAATGTTTTTATTATTATTATTGTATTATTTTCCTTCTACGTGACTTTACCGAAAGAACCAAGAATATGTTCTAGGATTGCCCATTTGGATGCTAACCTATGATTTTTCATTTGGTAATCAATGGTAGTATGTTTTGACGCTAGTACCGTGACAGATCATCGAAGTGCGAATGCATTTCATTAAATACTGTACACCTCTCACGCAAAAAGTAACATTTGAGAAATGTTACGCGTAATCTGATTTATATTATGCGAAGAGGTTTGAATAGCTTTTGCTGGGTACATATTTACTTAAAATTGTTTTGCCTATTCGTCACACATTGACGAATAAATAACTCCGGTACTGCATATTATTATTATTATGTGTGAGCAGTGTGGAATGATCGTGGTTATAATTTATATATACAGTCCCCTTTTTCATGTGAAGGCGCCTGTTGTCATTGGCACTCTTGCATGTTTTGGAAAGATGTTTTGCCAAAGGTTATTTCACTGTGACATATATACATATATATATATATTTAACTATGTGTACCCTTAGTGCTTACGTGGCACGGACCGCCCTTTAAATTAATGCGAGCCCAGGCGTGGTTGCGATTTGGCCAAATGTCAACTCATTCTTCTCCTCATCAGGCGTGACCCATTGACTTCAACCTCAGGTAATAACGACGGTACAGGAGTGATAATTGGTTTTTTACCCTTCTATCTGGCAACAAAACCGACACCTTTTTTTACAAGGAGTCATGTTTGCATAGACCACAATACCTGCAGCCATAATGCAAAAAAACATAACTCTGTTAATATATGCACTGTCCTTGAAGTTCATTGGTCCACACCCGAGACAGCTTTCCTTAGAGCCTAGTCTCACATGGGTTGGACCAGATGACGCCAAAAGGCGCACAACTCAAAGACAATGCACCATCAGAGTATGAGAGCTCGGGGTAAGCATTTACACCATTGGAACCTCATTTGCCAGTAAAAAAAATATGATAATTGGTTTTTTACCCTTTTATCTGGTACAGGAGTGTTTACCGATGGGGCCTATGCACACATGCTGGTGGAAGGGCTGCTTCCGCCCCACTTGGAGAATTGTCCTTCTTGGCAAGGGGCGATGGAAAATTGAATAGCCAGCGACGTACCTCGCGAAAATGGTCCATCCTCCAACGCCCCCTTCTCGGTGGCCTTTGTTTATCTCCGCTGATAACGCTTCCGGCAAGAGCAGAGTTTCTCGCCTGAAGCCGATGCAACCTCGCGGTACAGCGGTCGTCATGGCCAAACCAATCGGGTGCAGTGGATTCATTTGCGTGTGAATCGTGGTAGTGGTGAAAAGGGTGGACTGTTGGGGTTGTGATGCGGAGTTAAGAAGCACTGCAGGAGGAAAACATCAGCAACAGGGCTGTGGTAAAAGCCGTACAGGGGTATAGAGTCGGTGGGTGTATGCTCACCTCTATTTAGTGTAATTATTTGGCGTGCGTCAAATTCTTCGGGCTGTTTGTGGACATTTAAAGTTAATTCCATAAGCGTGTCTCGAACGGCGGTGACATGCCAGGTACGGATCATCCTTTTTATGAAGTGACAAAACAAAACCGCGATGCGTGCTAAACAAAAAACAAAGAGTCAACAAATATAACATATTGTTGTATCGCATCACGACCCCGAATTCTGACGATTCGACAACTTGGCTGCACACGTCCGCTCTGCCACGTGTCTAGCCAGGCCGTCGTTCACAGGCTGCTCCTTTGTGCCTCGTGTGCCAAGTCAACCCGTGGCTGTAAAATGTTGCAACAGTGAATGTAAGTGGTGCTTTTGATCCGCATTTTACTGGTTCACTGCTCCCCCATTAGCAGCTCGGTCACATTCACCCACGAATACAAGCAAGGCATTGCTCATTCATCTTACTCAACCTGTTACTATTTTACTGGGTGGAGGGGGGATTATCAGCTTTTGACACGATCCCGAACCGGTAACCAGTTACAGTTGCAGGTCACGAAAGTAATTTCACGACCAGCAGTTTACGTTCAAAGGTATTCATCGCGATCATCGGCTATTATCAATCCACTGTTGGATGATGGTCTCCTGAAGCCATCGGAATTTCTCAGTCTTGCGACGCAAGCCCATCGAGCTCAACATCAGCTGATATCATCGCCCCAACGCGTTCAGTTGACTGCACCCAATTTTGAGTGAAGTTGCCACTTTCGAAACTGACACTTTCAAAACGTGCACGGCCGTGTTGCAAGCACTAGTTGGTATCATTCGAGGCCTTATTTTGTGAATGGATCGTGTGTCGTCCAATATCCAGCGAACAGTGTGAATCTTGGCCCTGGCTGCAAGTGTAACGCATAATGTAGTCGTTGTGGTAATCATAACAACAACAACATCGCTGAAATACATGTTTTAACATCAACTCAACCGGCTTCTACCTGGTGGGGTTTTTTTCTTCCTCCCTATTTAAAACCTGTCACTGATTTACAACGAGGCCCCAATAAACGCGTGTGTAGTAGATTGCGGTAGTAGATTGCAGGTGCCGCTCTGACCTATGCAACGCTGTTAGGGCCTCGTTATGGTCGCTGGCGTCGTTCACGACACAAAACCTGCCCTGGGGCGCTCTGCCGGTGAAAGGCAGCGACATTAGGCTTGCCAAGTGGGGAGAGGTGCAGGTGTTCAGACAAAGGCAGTGTGGTGTGTGTGTGTACATTACAGTGTACAATGACCATGGGAGATAATCTGTATGCAGTGTCGTGTGTGTGTGCGTGCGTGCGGTAGTGTGGTGGTTAGCGCGACACTGCGCTACGAACCCAAAGACCCGAGCTCGATTGCCTCTCACGGCCACTAACACCGTTGACGGTTATCTGAACTCGGTCCTGGGGTTCCCCTAGGTCGACTCGGCCTCAAATGAGTACCTGGTGTGATGTTTAAACGTCGCCACTGGGGAGACAAAGGTGGTCGGGCGCCGTGCTGGCCACCCCACCTTGTGTGCCGTGCCGGCCTTCATAGGTGTTCGCGAACGACACTTGCCCCAACAGTCTGTCAAGGCTATACGGGGGTCTTTGTTGTTGTTTTAGCAGGGATCGCTGATCGTACTGGTGGACCTGACCGAGGACAGTTGAATTGAATGCCCATGGGGCCGTCCATAAATGACGTCACGCACATAGGAGGGGGGGGGGGTCAGACATTCGTGATGATGTGTGACGAGGGGGGGGGGGGTGAGAAATGTAACGTCACATCAACATGCGCAACTTTAAATAAATATAGACAACTCGTTCTACTTAATTAAATATACTTTTTGATAAATGTTTTCTCCTACAACAGCAGAGTGCAGCGGCACATTAAGTACGCACTACAATGGCAATAGTTTAAAGCGATTTGAAGCATGTTTTATTTTTGGGGGGGGCAGAGCTTTGTGAGGTTATATTTGAGGGGGGGGTCTGACTTTTTGTGACGCCGTGTGACGAGGGGGGGGGTCAAAAATCGTCCAAAATCGTCCAAAATCGCGTGACGTCATTTATGGGCGGCCCCCATGTTGCCCAAGTTTCATTCACCCTGGCATCTTACAATGCCCCTGGAAATTGAAGGAACAGCTGCCCGGTGCTGGTTTCATGACATGGGAAAGTTCCTCCGTTCAGCTGTTTCTGGTAAAACCTGTTGTGCGAAACGTTAAAGTTGTCGCGTGGCAATGCGATGAGTAATTGAAAAGTGGCTTTTATTTATCTATATATTCCTACTGGGTGTGTTCGGAGTCAGCCCTAAAAAGCTTACTGTGACCGCCGCAGTGTGTGAACGGAGTAGTGGGGAGACAAAGGTGGACGATGGTGGACGATGGTGGACGATGATGAACGTGGTGCTCGCCACACGACCAATTCGTGTGGCGTGCCGGCATTTGCCCCAAACAGTCTCGCACGACTAAATAATACTCTCTATCTGTGCGCGCGTGTGTGTGTGTCTGTGTGGTCACTGTGTAAATATTATTGTAAAAACATATTTGTCGCTGGTCACAACTCAAACATCCGTGCATAATTAAAAGTAATTCGCATTCAGATTACAATCTTTTATTTAAAAATATAAATACAGCTCCAGTGCCATTCCTCATTTGCTTGGGTTTATAAACGTGACGCGCGTAACGCGCCTCTGTGCGTCTCGTTTATTTAGGGGTTTGCTCACGACCTACTGGCAAGCGCTACACCAGTGACGAAGGGTCAACTGTGTCTGCGAAGTGGTCATCTGTGCGCATGGTCTCCCGTCACCCGACTCTCTGTGCCACGCCCGTTTCCTGCCGCACGAGGTAGTGGGGAAGGGGAGGGCTGTCAGGTGAGCTGGGATGGGTAAGTAGGTAGGTAAGCTTTGCTCGGCGCTCAGACAGGTGAGTGCCGAAGCGTGCAGACTGCGTCCTCTGAAGTCGCTCTCTCCACATTTTCGGTGGAAATTCATTCATCTATCTCTCGCTTTTTTTTCTGCTCGTTGATTATTATTTTTTTCTTCTTCTTACAAAAATTTGTGTCGCCAACAGTCCGGCCTGCGATGGCGCCTGCCTATTTATTTTGACTCTTCCCTCTGCCTCGCACCTGCCTCTTCCTCCCATCTCGCGTGTGCCCCTTGCGCCCAAGGCCGCCGCTGCTGCTGGTGGGGGGCGGGGGGTGCGACCACTTCTCTCGTAGCACATCCCCCGCCCCAGCGCCCCCCACACCCCACCCCGACTCAAACGCCGGGGACTCTCCAACGCCCCCGATCCTCCGCGGCGGATCGGATTCAATGTAAGGGGACCGAGAAGAGGCCCCCCTCCCTCCTCACCCCGCCACCTCCAACCTCCCCGTCGTGCCTGCGTGTGGACACGCAACGCAGTTGCACGTGGCCGCAGCTCTCGGCGGAGGCGGAACAGGCGCCACCCGCCGGCTGCCGTCGTCTTGCGCCATGGGGTGAGTCGGGACACCGCTGCCTGGCACCTGGGCTGCCGCGCGTTGTCGTGGCCGCGTTGCGCTTGCCTACATTGAGGACCCCTCGCCGAGTCAGTCATGCCACGTGTGGGTGGGTGGGTGGGAGGCGTGCGATGATTGCTCGGTTGATCACAGTGAAGAACATTTGCGGGTAACTTGTTTTTCGTTTTTTTTTTCAAACGTGGAATGAAATCACACCACGGCGGTGGCACACACAATGGCCACCGACTCTTCAACGTCCGCCGTGTTCAGCAGCGTTAGTCGGGGGGCACGGTCGATACACCCAACACCGCAGCATTAATCAGTGCGGCCGCCGGAATTCGAACCGCGAACTTCTGCCACAAGCTGCCACCCCTGGACCGTGTCACCGCCCTCGTGATAGCAATTTGTCGACGTAGTGCAGCGTGAGAGGGTAATTAGTCGTCGCAGTTAATACTAATCACGGGCGCTGCCGGAACGCATCACAGCACCTGGCGTCACCCAGGTTTATCGGGGCTGCGAGCTTAATGAGATGCTGGAGGTTGATAAGGCAGCGGGAAGACTGGGGGGTGGGGGGGTGAAATCCTGTTGTATTGAATTTGAATGTGATTGATGATTAAGCAACACGTGCGTCGTGAGCCGCTCTGACGTTACGCGCGTGCAGTGTTTACTTGTGTAGGTAGTATTGTTGTTCTTAGCAACAGCTGCAGACGGTGATGAAAATAAGGCATTTTCCTTGTACTTTTAGTAAAGACACATGGTGCTATGGTTAGTGTAAAAATAAGTGGTGATATGGTCAGTATAAGATGTGCAGCGGTCATTGTCAGTGCGCTCACTTCACAAACAAGAGGGTCGCGAGTTCCAATTGCAGTCAAGGAATTGACTGAGCCCATCACCTCTCCGGGATTGTTAAACAAATAAACATCAGATTCTTGAAATATTATTCTCCCTTTATACCTATAAGGGTGATTGAGGAGTCATTTCACGATTGAGGTCTGCTAATTTTGATCCAAAAGCTGGTCCCCCTTTGTTGATGTCCACAATGAAGTTTATCTCGTCCAGGAGCTCTTCCTGTTTTCATATTGGCTAGGAGAAATTATGTTACATCAGGAACATCCTCCACTTTATCTAAAACAATTATCTGTTTCCCCGGGGAATATGAAATAAGTTCTGTTGCGGGAGATGGATTTTGGTGTCGCACGACCGTAAGTAGCATGGCACACCCGGGTTTGGGGGGGGGCTTCATCTCGCAGTGGACAGAACAGTATAGTGCTGTGGGGAGACTGGTCACTACCACTTTAGCTCAGGACTGCCAAAAGAGATGAGCACCGTCATAACATTGATTCAATAAAACCAATGATTGTTCGAACATGGACACTGTCTGACTTGAATATTCATACTTGACACCGGTCAAAGACATTTGGCTGCTGGGTTTCAAGCGAGTGGTGGGAATGTATTCCCCTGGAGACTTAGCCTCAGCCCTAGCTCACTCCACCTAGGACTGCCGTTACAGTCTGTTCTTATATAACGCGGCATTTGCGTTCCTAAAGAACACCGCGTTATGGAAAAATCGTGTTGTAATAAATAATATATAACATAGGGTAAAGCACAGGTCACGATAACGCGTGAGATGTGTACGCAGGCTGAACGATGACTGCTGAGGTGCGTGGGTAGCATCTAGAAGCATCCAGCAGCATCCCAGCGCATTGTGCGATGCTGCGCCGACGCAGCCGTAACAACCGCTGCTTGGATTTGCTCTCCGACACAGCGGTGTTGCTGCACTAGTAACAAATTGGCCACGTTCTGTTTACGTGACAAACCTTACTAATTGGCTGTGTCGGGTGGTGGCGGGTTTAACGAAACATTTATACATTTACGCGATCTAACCCAAAAACAACTCAATTATAGACATAGTTCCGTTCACTCGATCGCGTTGTGAAAAAAATGTGTTCCCGAATACATCCGTCGCGTTCTATCCAATTCGCCTTTTGAAAACACGCGGCGCTCTCGCAGGACTATCCGTGTCTCAAGTTCTTGGAGTGTCGATCTCTCGATCTCTGAGGGTGAAGCGCGCCGGTTCCCCTTGAGCTGCGTTGGTTGCCGTTGGCCGACCGACATCACATTTGGGCTCTTATGCACGCTCACATTCTGGACACTTAAATCGTTTTCCAGCACCTTGGTCAATCCGCTACTGGATGACGACCTTTCCAAAACAGTGTCAGCCGCGGGGGTTGTCGGACCATACTTCACCACGCTGGTCCGTACGGTTTGGTGAATGGGGTGGGTGTGGGGACCAGAACCGGTTCCGACATCGCTAATGTCAACGATGGTTGATAGCCGATCACAGGTGGTCGGTTTCACAAACGGTGCAGTGAGCTAACCACTGTGACACCACTCCTCCGACCCCCGCCCCCTCCCTCCCTGTGTATACTTCGTAAAGCCATACACATTGCCCTGGTACATCGACTGTACACTATGTTCCGATAAAGACTCTGATATTCTCCGTATTGGTACTTATGTTGGTCCCAAGACATCGATTCAAAGGGGATGGGGCCCATGCCATTCCAGAGGAAGGCCTAAGACTCTGCAACTCCCTACTGGTTGAAATGGGTGTCGTTCCAACTTTGCAGGGATTTGGGGGAAAATGCAAGGGCTTTCTGTTCGCCCACGCGTTTTATTGCAAGGATTTGTGTGTTGGTTATGAAAAACAAAAAAGTTATATAACCTATGTTAAGGCACTTTGAGGCCCCACAAGGGCAAAGATACCATATTAAACTTTAAATGCCGATAATGACGTGGAAATTAGTTGTGTTGAATTGAAAGCCCTCAATGAAAAACAACGGTCCTGCCTTGGCAAGGCTGTGGAGGGGGCTCCTTAAACTCACATTCCTCGCACTGCACCGTCGTTCATCTCTCCAATGTTTACCACTCCTCCATTCAGACGCATCTTCTCGTTAATATTAAGTCATCACACGTCGCACACGTCCGATGATTCGCGGACATGGGAAACTCGGACCGAAGTTTCCCACGAGGACTGCGCGTTGAGGACACTGTGTCTGACCTGTGTTTAAAGGTCACGCCGTGCGGCCGAGCGCCAGTGTTGGGTAATCCGCAGGTCCAGATTTATTAATTTGGTTTGTGGGGGACGGGGGGGGGGTATTACCTCGCGGTCAAATCGGTGCGGCAGATGTGCTCGTTTTATTTATACATTGTCCTTCGAAGAATTAATTTAGATTTTCGGGAAATGTGTTTTTTTTTCTCTAGGCGATGGCTTCCCAGCATTGGCGTGTTCCGGTCACTGTTTAGGCTCCGCCAAATGAATCGCGCAGCCTCTGCCGAGTGCCCAGATGTTGCGAGCTGAATGTGTTTTTCTTGAAAGTGTACGTCAAGGGAGATTTGCAATCAAACGGAATGTATTGTCAGAAAGTGGCCTGATGTTAGACGTAAACATGTTGTGAAGCTTTGCTCTCGGTAAGATAAACACTTTGTTTTTTACATCAAGAGTGGGAACGTCCGATTTTAAATAAAAGGCATTCATTAACACGTGCACGGGCTTACAGTGTTGCTTACATTCGCGTGCACTCGGTGAATTTACCCGGTGGGTGTGAGATCTATGGGTTCCCCAGTGGGGCGTCCTAGCTTAAATGCCCTTTTGCAGGTCCAAACTAAAAGTGGTTTCCCTACTCAAACGGGCATGGGGGTGATGTTTGTTTCCGATTTAAAGCCCCGATCCAGTGGTGGAAATTCCCCATTTCCTAGACGAGTAATTTTTTTGCAGCTGCTAAATCGGGCGACGGTGCATGCTCGCAGGAGCTTTACGACACATTTATTACCTGTACAAGGATGTGAGAGCTGGCTGCGCGTTCCCTTTCAAAGGGGCCGCGTTTAAGGATGTCTTTAAAAGCCACGCTTGTGCTGTTTAAACCTGCGTTGGAGGGTTAGGTTTCAAACCGGTTTGTTTGGCCAGAGCTGACAATGCAACGGTGTGACGGGCGTGGCTAAGGCCTGGATTGCCCAGCTTCGTCAGGGCAGTGCAGGCCTTCAATTGGCCCGAACTTCAGGTGCAGCAACCCCAGTGCAAGTTAAAACTCGATTCGTACGAGGTGTCAGTTCAAGTCTCTGAGGGGTGTTCAGCCTCCCGTGATCAAGCTGGGTTCTTGAGTGTCCAGTGCTCTCTCGTTATTCACGAGGGATACATTCCGGAGATGCTCGTGAATAACAAATTTCGCGGGTGATGATATTGGCTCGCGAATATGGCACTCACAACTTCTGCAGATGCTTCTAAAGTTGCGAGAAGTTCTCTCTATCTCTCTCATCTCCCTTACCTCATCACTCTCTCCCATCACATTCTCTCTCGTCGCTCTCTCTCCCATCACATTCTCTGTCATCACTTTATCTCATCACTTTCTTTCTCTCTCTCTCGACGCGTGTCGTGTAGAGTTCCAGATGCAATTTGCGGATCGACAAACTTGCGGAGAGACATTTCGTGAATAACGAGGGAATAATGAAATGAGTTCATGGTCTCAGCCCAGTCACTGATCACTGTATAAAAAAAATACACATTAAATACGTGTGTTTGCTTTTTGGCGAAATTCTGCTTCTGAGAATTAAAACATCAATCTGACCATCATGCGGAAATATAATATCAGAGTTTTGTGTAAAGGTGTGACCCCTGCTGTGTGAAGGTTCGTCCACAACCCTTCTCTGACACACCCAGCATACCGCTCTGCTGCGAGATTCATGATGGGATTTTTCACCTCGTGACATTGCACTATCTCATCTCACGCGGTGACATAATTGGAGATATAATGGGAAAGAAACACCGAATGAAATATACAAAATTAAAGTCTATTCCACATTTAGTCTCAATAGTTCAAGTCGACAGCATTGAACTGATTTTTGTGTGATGAAAGTGTTGCCCTTCCCCCTGAACCCCCGATTAGCACGGTTGGCGACATACGGTGCAAAATAAGTTCAACATACGTAGCATACATACATATCCA